CACCTGCACACTCTCACACTCCGTTCCCAGCCCCAGCCTAGTTCTGACCAAGACACTGCTGGGATTCTGAAACCTCAGACTAATAGAACTTTCTTTTCTCTCTCTCTCTCTTTTTTTTTTTTTTCCAAGTAGGTGTAGTCCTCCTTAATTTTAATTCATTGAAAATGCTTCAGAGTTTAGGTCAGTGGGAGGAAAACTGACACCAAATATTTTTTTCTAATTTTATTTTTCAATGAGAGGTTACAATGCAATATTATTTTGTATTTGTTTCAGGTGTACAGCATAATGGCCAGACAATTATATACTTTGAAAAGTGCTCCTCCTCGATACAAAATAAACCCAAAAAACAAAAACAAAACCTAGTGGGTATTATGCTAAGTGAAAAACTCAGATAAAGCCAAATACTGTATGATTTCACTTACATGTGGAACGGAAAGGACAATATAAACAAACAAAAACAAACTCAAAGATATGGATATCAGAGTGATGGTTGCCAGAGAGAAGATGGATTGGGGAACTGAGTGAAAAAGATGAAGGGATTAAGAAGTACAAATTAAGGAATATTAATATTGTTTTTCTCATTAATAATTGGTTCTTCTGAATTAAAATTGGTAGTTATGAAAGAAGAAAACAAGATGGTGGCATAGATAAATGTAGTACTTCCTGCCTCTCACAACCACATCAAAATTGCAACAAATATACAGAACAACCATCATTCAGAACAGTCTTAAATCTAATGGAAGTCCTACAAGTAGAAAATTAAAGAAGAAAGCACATTAAGACTGGTAGGAATGGCAGAGATATGGAATGAGCTGGTCCACACCCACATGTGGTGTGTTTTGAATTGGGAAGGATATCATGGCTGAGGAGGAATCCTGTGAGGAGCAAGGGATCCCAGCCTCACATCAAACCCCTCAGCACAAGCTTCCAGGGCTGTAAAGAGAAGTCCCTGTAACTTCAGGCTATAAAAACCAGTAGGAATTGTGGCTGAATGACACTGGAGGGTGCTGAATCCCAGGCAGTTCCTCTTAAAGGGTCAACACATGGACTTAGACTCGCTCCAGTGCTGAGGTAGCAGCTTGAAAGGATCCAGGAACAGATGGGGAGGAACTAATGTGTCTGGCATCAAGGAAAGAACTGGAGGGCAGTTTTCTCCCAGACAAAAGTGCTGGCAGCGCTCATTGTTCCTATGCTGAAACCTCCCCCACCACAGAGCTGACTGGCAGGCACCATATCTGAGACTCCATCAACCTGGTCCACACTGTTTGCCCTGCCCTGGTGATTCCCTGAGACTTCTCCCCACCTAAATTGCAGCTCACCCAAACTAATTGCAGTGGCTTTCTACATGAATGGTCTGTCCTTGCTTAGGCTTCAGACTTCCCTAAAATTTCTCAAATAAGTATCAGCTGGATTCAGTGTATCCTATACCTCTCTATAAGTGGCCCCAGCCCAGCACTGGCAGCAGTTTGCCAAGTTGCTCCCCCCCTCCCCCAGTTCTTGCCTTAATGCCAGACAATTTAGTTCCTCCCCATCTGTCCCTGGATCCTTTCAAGATGCTGCCACAGTACTGGAGCAAGTCTGAGTAAGTCCATGTATCAACTCTTTAAAAGGAACTGCCTGGGACTCCAGCAGCCTCCAGTGTCACCTGAGCTAGGCCACTGGGCCCTACAGGGCACCTACTACACAAAGCCCCTCTACTAATTTCAAGAGCCATAGCAACTTTACCTAATACATAGAAACAAATATAGGAAAGCAGCCAAAATGTAGAGACAAAGAAACATGTTGCAGATGAAAGAACAAATCATCAGAAAAAGAACTAAATGAAATGGAAGCAAGCTAAATACCAGATACAAAGTTCAAAATAATGGTTATAAGTATGCTCAAGGAACTTAGAGAGAATTTCAAGGAAATTAGTAAAAACATCAAAAACACAAGGAAGAAGCAGGCAGAAAATGAAGAATTCACTAACTGAAATGTAGAATAATTTACAGGGAATCAACAGTAGAGTAGAGGATGCTGAGAATCAAAACAGTGTTTTGGAATAAGAGGAAGCAAAACAAAACAAAACACACCCAATCAAGACAGCAAAAAGAAAAAAGAATCCAAAAAATATGAAGATAGTGTAAGAATTCTCTGAAACAATTTCACTTCAAGCATACCAACATCTGAATCATGGGGGTGTCAGAAGAAGAGAGAGAGCAAAATATTGAAAACATATTTGAAGAAATAATGACAAAAAACTTCCCTCACCTTGTGAAAGAAATAGAATTATAAGTCCAGGAAGCAGACAGAACCCCAAACAAAAGGAATCCAAAGAGGACCACACCAGGACACATCATAATTAAAATGCCAAGAGCAAAAGACAAAGAAAGAATATTAAAAGCAGCAAGAGAAAAACAGTTAGTTACCTACAAGGGTGTAACCATACGACTGTCAGCTGATTTCTCAACAGAAACTATGCAGGCCAGAAGGGAGTGGCAAGAAATATTCAAAGTGATGAATAGCAAGAACCTACAACCAAGATTACCCAGCAAAACTATCATTCAGAATTGAAGGTCAGATAAAGAGCTTCACAGATAAGAAAAATATTGCCAAACTAGTATTACATGAAATGCTAAAGGGTAGTCTTTAAGAAGAGGAAGCAGAAGAAAAAGGTAAAGGTAAAGATAAAATTATGAACAACAAAGTGACAACAAATACATATCTATCAACAAATGAAACCGGTTTGACTCAGTGGATAGAGCGTCGGCCTTCGGACTAGGGGTCCCGGGTTTGATTCTGATCAAGGGCATGTACATTGGTTGTGGGCACATCCCCAGTGGTGGGTGTGCAGGAGGCATTGGTTGATGTTTCTCTCTCATCGATATTTCTAGCTTTCTATCTCTCTCCCTTCCTCTCTGTAAAAAATCAATAAAATATATTTTAAAAATTAAAATAAAATTAAAAAAGAATAGTGTTATCTTGAGTTGTATCAGTCACTTATAGAAAATTATAAAATCTAGGGGGATGTGGAAATCCCCAAAGTTATAGCCAATCTTTTGGAAACATAGGTGGTCTGGGGACCTCAAGGTTTAACTGGTGTGTGAAGAAAGGACAGTATTATAAAGGACTTTGTCCCTAAATTGTGGGATCTGATACTAACTCTAATGTGTAGTGCCAGAATGACATCACAGTTACACTCAGAGTTACTGGAATGAGGACACATTTCTACCCAAGAAGCAATGGTGAGGGGATATTTTACTGAGAAAGTTGACACTTGCAATTTTGCTGTATACTAGGAATATAATTCCAAGGTAAAGACACACACACACACACACACACACACACACAATCACACACACAATCACACCAAACCACCTTATACATAGACACCCCCAACGCATGACACCAACCTGTACCATCTAAAAGAAATACAATTGCATGTAATAACACAGTCATAGTTCTTTATCTAGAAAATCGTTTTCTTTCACTGCACCATTAATTGTCATTTCTGCCGGAATCAGAGTGGTTCTCCAGATGAAAGCCAGCAAGGAAGGTTCAATTTCCTTAGCATTAGGGTATTTTTCCTCGGCAAGTGATGGCCCCAGAACATGCACAACTTCCCTTTCTCTTGAGGCCAGCTGCAGGTGCAGAAACGAAAGCACTGTAAGGTGCAGGTCATGCAGGGTCCTGTTTGCACAAACCTTTTCTTCTTGTTGGCTTTCGGAAACCAGATGGGAAACTATGCTCGAGACAAGGGAAGTTAGAAGCAAGAGCACAGAACACTACTCATGGCCAGAAGGCATAAACCTTTCCTGGAGGATGCGCCTCTCAGTCTTACCTTGATTGGCAACTACAAAACTCTTAATCCAAGAGGAAAAGTCTCCGTTGAAGAAAAGGTCCCCTCCCAACAGTTAATACCTGATGTGATTTACCTGAGTGCCTCTAGAACCTGGCATCAGGTGGTAAGAGACTATCCTCTCAGCCCGCAAGGAGACTGTCACTGACCTCTGTAGGGCACATGGCCAGCTTTTCCTGTCTGATCTACACCAAGAAAAAAGAAAACAAGAAAGCAACTTTTCTCTTTTAAAAACTTTTTAAATGTTTTTATTGATTTTGGAAAGAGGGGAAGAGAGAGGGAGAGAGCCCGGAATCCTACATGTGCCCTGACTGGGAATCAAACCCTCAAGCTCTGGGTGCTGGGTGACGGGGCCTCAACCAACTTATGCCACACTGCCAGAGTTCTCTCTCTCTCTCTCTCTCTCTCTCTCTCTCTCTCTCTCTCTCTCTCTCTCTCTCTCGGTAAAACATAGTCAATTTTCTCCTTAAACCACAAAATAGAGTCTTGGATTGTAAAACATTACTAGAGGTCCCAATTGGGAACAGGACAGTTAGGGATCAGAACTCCTGAGGGATCTCTTTAAAATGCTAACACCCAGGTTTAAAGATTCTGGGCAAGGGTGGTGTTGAAGCTGGCAGGACCCTTACTACATGTCTGGAGGAATACACCTGGAGCCTCTGGGAGGGCAGCAGGCCCAGCCAGCCCCCCTCCCAGCACCCTGGCCACCGTGGACAGCACCTGCAGCAGAGTGGCATTTCCTGGGGCCCTTGGGCATCTGGAGAAGTCCTGCCCAGAAGCATCATGGCCATCCCCCTCTCTGTCCTCCTCCCGCAGGTCTGGGCTGGGAAACGCTTCCAAGGACCTCAGCAAAATCTGGACCGGCGTCCTGGGGAGGTGCTGATCTTGGGGCCCAGGTCTTCCCAGAGGAAAGACCTTGCTCTGGCCCTCCTGGGACTTGCTGAGAACCACCTGTGCACAGAGGGCATCCAGCTCCAGGGACTTCATCTTGGCTGCCCTCTACAGAGCATGCTTCTCTGCTTCGGCACAGAGCTCAACAGGAGACGGCCTGCTCAGGGCACGCGGCTCGGGGCTCCACAGCAGAGCTGTTCCTGATGGCACCGCATCAGCTTTGGCTGTCAGGGCTGGGAAGCTGCTTCCTGGGAGTGGAGGGGACAAGGAGATGGCGCAGGGTGCTCCTTCTCCAGCCCCTCGTTGTCAGGAGCTGCCCGGTCCGTGGCAACCATGGCAACTGGGAGCCAGCAGCCTTCCGCAGCATCTGCTGCAGCTTTGGGGCTTCCTCCTCCCCGGGCCTCAGCACCCACCAATGACCTTGTCTTTGGGGGTTCTCAGCCTCCGGCACCCACACCACCAACTCAAAGTGCTTCTGTTGTTTGGGGAAGGGAGACAGTGGGCCTGGGTGTGGGGTGTGGGCCTTGTGTCCTGGGAGATGCTGCTCAACAGCAGAGGTCCTGTAGGAGGGGAGTTCAGGGGGAGGCTGAGAGAAGGGCTGCAGGCAGTCTGGGGGAGCAAGAGGCCTAGGCCATATGCTCTCCAGCTGTCCCAGTTGGTACCCCAGGGCATGGCAGTCCAACTTCAGGCTCTCCGGGCTCCCACTGCGAGGTCTGTTAAGGCAGCTTTTTCTCCTTGCTGGGGCCCTGGGGCTCAGCTCCTGGTGGATGGAGGAGATTCTTTCCAGAATGTTCTGTAGCTGAGGCCTACTCCGAAGGGATTGACAGTGACACCCAGGGACACTTCAGAGGGGACAGTGGTGCTGGTGTTGAAGCCATGGCAGACAGAGTGAGGGTGTCACCCGCCCTGCACAGCAGCTGTGCACCCTGCACGGCGTGAGGCCCTGTTGGTTTACCTCCAGTAGCCACAGCCCCACTTATAGGCTCCCATCACTCCTGGCCACCCTCTTGGGGGTAGGGGGTCGGGGTAGAAGGTGGGGGTAGGGTAGGTGGCCATGCCTGGCCTTGTTGATGTCTATTTTGTTGAACTACAGGTCATGGAGCCCAGTTGGCAGCACCATTTTGATGCAGGAGCTGAAGATGCCCCGTTGGCAGCCCAGTGGGGCACGGAACCTTTCCTGCCTGAGATACTGAGCCAGTTCCTTTTCACTGCACCAGCCAGCCCACATACTGCTGTGGGGGGGGGGGGGGTGTGGAGCTGGGGTGGGGGCAGCGCCAGGTGCCAAACCTCCGTTCCCTGGGGCACTGAGGTGTGACCGTGACCATATTCTCTGGCTCTGCCACAGCCACATTGCACAGTGGTGCCCGCCCTGCAGGACCTCCTCTGCCTGGTGGTGCTTGGCCTTCTGTGAGGCCACAGTGTTCGCCCACTTGGTCTCCAGCCTGGGCTGCAAGGGGCCTGGCGGGGGGGTGGGTTCCTCAGACACTGAAGAGATGACTGTGCGCTCAGTCACCCTTAAAGGGGGTGGCACCCTTGCAGCCAGCGATTCTGATGCCCCCCATTCCCCTAACCCTGCCGGCCACATGGTGTCAGCTCTTCCTCAATGCCAGCGAGCTCTATCAGTAGGTGACTGGTTTTGGCAGAAGGTACAGGCGTTGTGCCAGCCTCCAGGGCCTGACAGGCCCTTGCTGTCTGGCTTTGTCCCCTGCAGCAGGGCCACGGCAGCCTGGAGCTGGGCAGCTTAGTGACCTCAAAGTGTCTCTTGTAGTGGGTGTGTCCTGGCAGGTGAGCTGCTGCTTCTCTGCAACCTGGGGTCAGGGGCCTCCAGCGGCCCCTCCTCACTCCTGCCATATTCCATTGGAGGCTGGAGCAGCATGTCCGTGGTGAGTCTCACTGTGGCTCCTCATAGGTTTCCCCTTCTGCCTCCCCCTGGACAGCTCTTTGGGCTTCCAGCTGGCCCAGCCCTCTGTCTCAGCTCTGAGGGCCGGGGCCTGCAGGAGGCTTTGCTCCAACACCTTCCACACCCCCATTCATCACGTTGGCTCACCGGGGAGAGGCCCTGCTTTCTGGCAGCAGCCTCCTGGGCATCCTCTGGAACTCGATTGTGCTAATGGGGTGCTCCAGCTCTCAGAAGGGCGACTCCACTAGCCTGGTCTTCATAAACATAGTCATGTGTCAGCACTGAATTTAGATCATCACCTCACTCCTCTGAAATAAAAGTAGGCTCTTCACCGTGGCCGTTTTGCTCAGTAGTTAGGGTGTCAGCCTTCAGACTAAGGGTCTCAGGCACTTCCTCAGTTGCAGGCTCAATCCCTGGCAACCAATCAATGTGTCTCTTTCAAACCGATGTTTCTCTATGTCTCTCCTCCTCCTTTCCACTCTTGCAAAATCAAGGAAAAATATCGTTGGGTAAAGATTAACAAAAAATACCATTAAAAAATTAGGATCCTCTTATTAAGGAAGAAGTGAAAATGGAGGAAGAAGTAAGCCATTGGTATAACCTTCACCGCTATGTTACTGAGTTCTCATTTTCTGTATATGTGAGGATTCCTGAAAAGGGCAGCATGTGCTCAATAAACATGGATAAAATCACAGACAATTAAAGTCTAACAGGTGGATAAAAGAGTTGACCATAAAATCCAGTGTAGTTTTTGTTTGTTTGTTTGTTTTTGTTTTTTAATGCCACAAGAGTGAAGTTTTTCCTGTGCTTAGATCCTCCTGTCTGTACCTGGATTCAAAGTCAGTGCTGGACAATGCTGCTGTGGCCAGGCCTGGCCATGAGGTCCAGTGAGCGTGGCAGTTAGGAGACTCCTGCTGTTTCTGGGGCTGTGAAACGGACTCTACAAGCTGCTCTTGGGTCTAGAAGTGTGATTTGGATATGTGGTAGATTACCCAACTATCCTGTCTGCAACCATGGGTCAATGCTCAGATTTTCATAACATGTTTGAAACAGTATTTGTTTGATTTTTACTTTTAATTGAAGTATTATATATTTACAGAAAAATTTTGAATATCATGATTGAATAGCTCAATAAATTTTTCACAAATGGTAATCTTTATGTTTAAAGAGAGAGAGAGAGAGAGAGAGAGAGAGAGAGAGAGAGAGAGAGAAATAATAATACATTACTGGAACCCAGCTCTAGTTCCAAATCCTGGATGAATCTCCAGACCAGCCAGAAGGTGCTACCCTGTTTTACAGATAGTCACTTGAGGGTAATAACAATCCCCATGGCTTGTTAGAAGAATTAGGTAACAACCACATAGTAAGTTTCCCACATACAAGGGCTTCTGTGACGTGCGGTGAGCTCTTGGCAGTCAGGGATGTCTCTCACTTCTTCCTCTCCACCCCCAGGGCCTCTTATCAGTGTCAAGCACACAGTAGGTGCTCACATTTCTGAAGGAACTGAATCTCATTTTGGTTGCTCTCTGTGGGCCCAGAGAATCAGCGTGGTCTTTCAAAATGCCCTCCCATCCAGGCCCACTCTTACGTTTTTTCTCATAGATTTTCAGACCCAGTGTAGACAGAGCCCAGCCCTGTTCATGGCCTTTTGTGCTGAGCCTGATGGAGGTGGGCTAACTTCTTCCCGGGAACACCTCCAATGGAAGCTGGAAAAGAGGTGGGAGAGGGAGAGGGAGAGGGAGAGGGAGAGGGAGAGGGAGAGGGAGAGGGAGAGGGAGAGGGAGAGGAAGCCTCTTCAAAGTTAGCCCAATGTCCCAAGGGGACTAAGCTACTCAGACATGAAATGGGGTTCAAGCCAAGAACTATTACTCATTGTGTGACTAGACGGTCCCTTTCTGTAGAGTCGGGCTGTTGATGACACTGAGGGCCGGGGGTAGGGGGATTGGTGGGAAGCAGGTAAGTGTGAAGCATACAGTCAGCACTCCATAAACATACCAGGCACTGCTGTCTGTTTTTACACTACAGCTCCAGTCTTCCACAGATGGGGAAACAGGCTAGCAAGAGCCAGTGACTTCTCCAAGAGGCCAGAGCTTATTTCTTACTGGATCTTGCTGTGACCTTATCCATTCTCCCTGACCAACCCCAAAACAACCAGCAGGACTGGTGCTCTCAGACAAGGTTGTGGGGAGGGTATGAGGAGAGCAGCAAGAGCAACATTCCCCTTTGCTGAGGGCCTTTCTTATTTTCTCATTAAATCCTGAAAAAGCCTTGAAAGTGATATTATTGTCATTCACGTTTTACAGATGAGGAGACAGGCTCAGAGAGATGAAGGCTCTTGATCCAGCTGCAGATTTATTTGTTGCGTAAAGGGAGGGACAGTGGGCAAGCCGGGGACACACAGTGAGTTCTGTGGTTTGGAGAGTTCAGTCGGGCTTCCCCAACCACAAGGGGTAGATATGCCTGTGCTTCCTGGGCGTGGCTTTCAGTCAGTCCAGAAGGGGGAAAATCCATTCCCATCCCACCTCTCTGCCTTTTCAACTGATTGGCATAAGTCTCACCTACACACACTCAACAGCATCAGGTGGGCATGAGGGTGGCATTCAGAGTCTCAGAGGACGGGCTGGGCTGGTGTGGGTTGTAACAGGGCCTTCCAGTCCCCTCTGGCTGGGGTCTGCCGAAGATGGTGGTATCAGAGAAGGCTCAGTAGGGAACCAGGACATTTCATTCCTGCTGGATGCTAGGACTTATTCCTCCACTCCCATGTGCCAGTCAAGTATGGGAAGAGCATGGACTTCCATCCCTCACTCAGCAGGGAAGAGGAGGTGCGCCCTCTGCCCACTGGGATGGGGTCTGAGGAGGCTTTCTCCATCACTCAGTGGCAATGAGTCACCGTGGGTCAGAGAGGTCACATGTGAGCACTCATGAAGCATTCATAATGGTCCCTACCACAGAGCCCTGCTGGGGAGCTGGAACGCTACACTCCTAACCCCAGCAGTAAGGAGAACCCCACTCTGGGGGTTACAGGCCAAGTGGGGAACCTGGATGTCTACACTCACCTGGCAGTTATCAGCAGGACCCTCACCCATTGAGTAGTTGTCAGAAAATCCAGCTAAAATAGAATGTTTAAATAAGACCCAGAGTCTAATAATGTAATACCCAATATTTCCAGATTTCAATCCATGCCCCTTCCTCCCAGCTTCGGAAACAGGTGGAAGATGTGGAGGTTGGGAGTAGTAGCCAGGACTTGGGTGCCATTAGCCCCGCAGGCACCTGGGTGCTGGCAAGTGGTGCAGTGTATTATATTATGATGGTGATAGTCCTGTGAATGAGAGTTGGACAAAGATTGGTATGAAGGAAAGGCACACAATTTTTTGACAGATCTGGTTATTTATACTTGTGTTGGTTATTCCTTGAAGGTAAAGCCTGATGAATTTTTCGTGATCATTCCTTACTTTGCCTAAAGTTTGGGCCAATTCGCATGTATGTCTATTATCTTATGTATAGTTTTGGATTAGATTCAGGATTGACAGCCATTAAAAAACACTGTTGGGTTCTTTTACAGTTTTGTGGGTTTTTTTATGTTTTTATTGATTTTAGAGAGGGAGAGAGAGAGAGAGAGAGAGAGAGAGAGAGAGAGAGAGAGAGAGAGAGAGTGAGAGACATGGATCGGCTGCCTCCCGAACAGGCCTGTCAGGATCAAGCTTGGTATGTGCCCTGACCTAGGTATGTGCCCTGACCAGGAATCATACCAACAACACTCAACTACTGAGCCACACTGTGCAGGGCAGATTCTTTTAAATTTTATCCTTAAGGCATCTGTCACCTCTGCACTCCATTCTAACCACAAGGAGGAGATGCAAGCCAATGCTTGTAAAATGGAACCTTCAGAAGTCCTTTGT